GGATCCGAACCCGGTCCGCCAGCAGCGGAGCGCGCGCACTTAACCGCTAAGCCACGGGGCCGGCCCCATCTTAGCATCTTTGTATCTTCTAGTAATGCTGGCTGAGGGCAAAGGGCCTGGAGATAGGCCAGCCTGGACATAACTCCTCTGCTGCTTATTAAAGTCTTAGCCGAGCTACTCTCTGAACCCTGGTTCCTCCGTATGCAAAATAGTCACAGTAATAGCACTGTCTTATATGACTTGCCAGGAAGCTAAATTATGAAGAAAACTAGGGCATCTAGCCCAGGCCTTTACACCTGCGAGGTGCTGAATACAGGTTACCTCCTTCCATAGGTGCCCATCCAAAGATGCATATATGAGGTGGCAGAGGATTGAACCATATATATGACCTCTGAGATCCTTTCCAGTTCTTAGATTTTGGGGCTCAGTGGCAGTAATTCAGATACGTTAACAGTATTTAGCATTTACTACATATCAAGTTGCCATTTATTATCTGTCACCTTGGGCAGATAACATACAATTTTTCCCATTTTTGCAATGGGCTAATTACTTATCTCATAGCATTGCTGTGAGGGTTTAAGGAGATAACATCGTGCCAGATAAACAGTAAGTGCTCAATACTTAAATATTATTGTTAGGCAGCCATGTTAGGTGTTGGCGTGCTTTATTCTTCTGGGTCTGACTTTTTCCTTTACTCTTTTTGTTTGGATTTCAGGGTGAAACTTCCTACATCCGAGTTTATCCAGAGAGAAGCACCAGCTATGGCTACTCACGGTCTCGGTCTGGGTCAAGGGGCCGTGACTCTCCATACCAAAGCAGGGGTTCCCCACACTACTTCTCTCCTTTCAGGCCCTACTGAGACAGGTGATGGGAATTTTTTCTTTATTTTTTAGGTGAACTGAGCTGCTTTGTGCTCAGACTCTACATTCCAGATTGATGATTTAGTGTCTTAGGAAATTTTTTTAATTTTTTTTTAAAGGAAATAAAACTACATAATTTCTACCAGGGCCATATTAGCAGTGAAACATTTTTAACTGCAGAAATTGTGGTTTTGGTTCAGAACAAGTTGTATATTTTTCACCCCTGATTATGGGAAAAAAATCAGTGCTGTGTCTTTGTGGGTTGCTCTGCAATGGAGATCAGCAGTTACTGTGACTGAGTCGGCCCATTCTGTTTAGAAATATATTTTAAACGTTTAGTAATTGACATGTGTGGTTGTCCTTGATTAAGTTCATAGATTTCACCAAACAGGCACAGTGATTAAAAAAAAAAAATCATTGAGTTGAAGTGGCAACTTGTAACCAGTTGGTAAGGAGCAGGAGTGGATAACTTTATTTGGGGATAAAGATGGTTGCTCTGGTGGTGGTTTGAGAACTTCAGTCCTAAGGGCAGATTCAGAGTTCTCTTGTAATTCAAGCCCAAGCTTGTAAGTTAAGCTGCTTTAAAGAAAAAAGGAGCATTTCAGATAGGGGAAGGGAATGGGAAGAATAAAAACAGACTTTTTAAAGTGGGTAGCAGCATAAAGATCATGGAGGAATTCTTAGCCAAAACTAACTTTGGCAGTTTGATTAGGAAAAAAACAATTCTGGTTCTATCACTTTTAGTCCTAAATCAGTCTCATTTATCATTGGTATCTGAGCTTTTTTTTTTTTTTCCTTGTGAGGAAGATTGGCCCTGAGCTAACATCCATGCCCATCTTCCTCCACTTTATATGGGGCGCCGCCACAGTATGGCTTGAAAGCGGTGTGTCGGTGTGTGCCCAGGATCTGAACCTGCGAACCGCGGGCCGCCAAAGCAGATTGCGAGCACTTAACCACTTGTGCCACCAGGCTGGCCCCGGTATCTGAGCTTTTTTAAAAAACAAAAACCCTACTATCTTGGATTCCACTCAATTCAGTGATTATGGTGGGGAGGGGCTACTTTGTTCCAGGTCCGGGGCTATTTTTAAAAAAAAACTTTTTTGAAGTATGATTGACACGTAAAAAGCTGTACTTATTTAATGGATCCAACTCAGTGGGTTTAGGGTTACATATACAACCATGAAACCATCACCACCATCAAAGCCATAAAGATATCCATCACCTCCCAAAGTTTCCTCCCTACTCCTTTATTTATACCTGGTAAGTTAAGATGTACCCACTTAGCAAATTTTTAGTATACAATACAGTATTGTTAGCTACCTCAGGGCTATTTTTATGATAAGTTCTTTTCAGAAAGAGAAACTCTAGGTGCGGCTAGTGTCCTTTTGGCAAATAATCACTTTTGTGGGAGTGGACGGTTCTAGGTTAGGAGCTCCCAAGCTGTAGTTTGCTTTGAATACTCTCCAGACTTGAGCAGAAAGTTAGCCCTCTGCTTGGAATAAAGTGAGTATCCAGGAAAAAATTCAAGTGTGTTCAATAAAGATAAAAGGTTGATGGAAACAGGAACTAAAAAGCACAATTTAGGTTGTCGCATGGTGATCAGATACAGTGTCTAACAGTTATGTAAACAGGAAAATTCACCAAAGTGTAGTTTGGTAGACAGTCTTTTGGGGTAGAGATAAATGGGGATAACATCTTCCATACGGAACAGCCTGTGAGTAAATACTTGATCCATTTCCTTGGAAACTGACAATACCTTTTCTATTAGCATCAGGAACTCATTGCCTTGTTTTGATGAGATCTTTGCCAATTCTGTCTTCAGAAGAGTTAGTTACAAAAAAATACTTAACCATCAATTTTTTCAGGTGACTGAAGGAAGTGGGAACATGAGTGTTCATAATAACAAAATATCATTGCGCTTCCACGTGTTTGCAGAGTACCCTTCCCAGAATAGCTACTCAGCTATGTGAGAAGCGCTCTTGTTCATCCAGCTTTGGCAAAGAGATATTACCTGTTTGAAAACAATAACAAAAAAGAATGTTTATAGCTGACCTTGCTTCCCAACTGGCTCTACTGAGCTAACTTACCACTTGATTTGTCATGGAAAGTAAGCAATGGAAATAAGTGTAGCTACTATCCTGTTTTTCTAACTATCTGAAAGAATCAGTTAATAAGAGAAGCCTAATAATACTTTTAAGTAAGGAGCAGAGACAAGTTAATCAGCCATTTATATGCATATGGGAGTGGAAGGAAAGACTATGAATGTGAAGTCAGTTTGCCCCAAGAAGCAAAGTCTGACACAAAGTTCTACTTGAGAAATAGCATATATGATCAATGGATATGTCTGCTGAAACAACTCTGAGATCAGGCTCTGAGATAGATTATAAAATCTTATTTCTCTCCACAGTTAACTCAGGTGGCTTAGTGAATCAGAGGCATGATTAAGAGTAGCGCTCACAGGGGCCGGCCCCATGGCTTAGCGGTTAAGTGCGTGCGCTCTGCTACTGGCGGCCCGGGGTTCAGATCCCGGGCGTGCACCGACACACCGCTTGTCCGGCCATGCTGAGGCGGCGTCCCACATACAACAACTGGAAGGATGTGCAACTATGACATACAACTATCTACTGGGGCTTTGGGGAAAAAAAAAAAGGAGGAGGATTGGCAATAGATGTTATCTTAGGGCCGGTCTTCCTCACAAAAAAAAAGAGTAGAGCTCACAAATTTTTTAGCTTTCCTTCCCATCCTTGCTTCAACCAGAGCTTTCCTTTAACTGGTTGGTCTTGATCAAAGAGGTAATCCCTGAGCTGGAGGGTTAATGTTTATCTCTGAAGCCTGTTCAGAATGGTTCTCGGAGGGGATCTGAACCTGAAGTTGGCACTTGGAAAGCTGTCTACCCGAGTACTTACGCTAGTCTATTCCCAAATGTCCAGAGGGATGTAGCAGCTCTGAGAACCCACCTATCTGCAGAGGAGATGTTAACCGTTCAACCTACCCAAGGTTCTTGATTTTATTATTGGCCCAGTGTTATTTTAAAGCTTCCATTTAAAATAGTTACAGTGAGGTTTAAAGATGCAAATCTCCACACCAGTAGTTGCAAACTGATGGCTTACAGGATGCATCTGGCTTGCAGGTATGTTTTATTTGCGTGGTATTTTATTTTTTTAAATCTTGAATTAGTTGCCAATACTTAAAATTTCAGAAATATCAGAAAAAATGCCAGGTGTCCAGGTTCTCTTGGAAAATGGACTCACATTCTTCCCTGGCACTGAGTGAGAAGCAGCAGATGCCAGTTGCCCCTTTAGGGAGAGCTTGAGCTCCAGATTTGCCACTGGACACATCCCTCCCTGCCCCAGTCCTGTTTTGCTTGTTCCTGTTACTGACTGGCCCCTAGAGGTGAGTGTGACCCTGGGACTCTACTGCCACCTTAATGCCACCACCTATATGCACTTTATACTTATTTTTATTGTTAATACATGTGTTTTTTATTTTTTATTATTTTCAGTTTTATTGAGATATAGTTGATATATATCATTGTATAAGTTTAAGTTGTACAACATATGTATATATTGCAAAATGATTACCACAATAAGATTAGCGAACATCTGTCACCTCACATAGTTACAGTTTTTTCCTTGTGATGAGAACTTTTAAGATCTACTCTCTTAGCAACTTTCAAATACAATACAGTATTGTTAACTATAGTCATCATGTTGTACATTACATCCCCAGGACTCATTTATCTTACAACTGGAAGTTTGTACCTTTTGACCACATTCACATAATTCCCACTTTATACTTTTCAGAGTGCTTTCACATAGCAAATGTGGGCCTTACAGTTTCTACTATTTTCTTAGGTCACTGTGGAACAGTCTGTTAAATCACTTTGTGGGACACGTACCTGGGGGGGCCACAAAATACTCCTCCACAACTCGATGAGAGTTTTGTAGTACTTCTTCAGCACAGTTGCCTTCTATCACATTATCGGATCTCAAGTATAGACATCTACAAAACCAGAAGTTTAAGGTTACCTTCTCAGAGGACAGGGCTTCTAGGGCATGGGTGGAGAGGGTCATGAATGGGAGAACAAGGGAGCAGCATATTCTTGAGTTAGGTTCGAAGATGGAGGAGCTGGGGTCAACAGTAGACCAAATAACAGTCTACGGTTTATAGATTCTCCAAACAACCCTGTGAGGTAGGTGGTAATTATTCCTTAGGATTGATATGTTTAATAAATATTTTTGGATGATCACTATGGGTAAATTGCTTGTGGTGGAGATATATAAAGGCAATTACAATACGCTGTTAAATCTAACAAATGTAAGCAAAGTTTGCCAAGGGAGTAGAAGGGCACCTAACCCAGCCTGGGTGAGGAACAGGTACTCAGAATAGGTGATGTCACTGCTAAACGATGGGCAAGAAATAGCTGGATTGCGGGGATGGGAAGATGGACTTCCTGGCAGGTGCAGAAACTTGCTCAAGAGTGGGTTATAAGTGACTGAAGGATATTAGCTCTTAAGTGACAAGACTGAGATTTGACCCCAGTTCTGGTACCCCTAATATGAGTGCTTTTTTCACCACAGCCACCTTTGGGGATAATAAAAGTGCCTGCCCTTGCAAGATGCACCACAAACCATAGCTCAAGAATCTGCCACTGTTCTCTGGGCCTAGTGGCTTCATTAAAGTATCCAGATGGCAAACCAGTGAAACCAAACAGGAGGTGAACATACCTATGAGGTTTCACTACTGTTTCAAGGTTTAACAGTGCATGATGGGGCCAGCCCTGTGGCATAGCAGTTAAGTGTGTGAGCTCTGCTGCTGGCAGCCTGGTTTGGATCCCGGGCGTGCACCGAGGCACCGCTTGTCAAGCCATGCTGTGGTGGCGTCCCATATAAAGTGGAGGAAGATAGGCACAGATGTTAGCTCAGGGCTGATCTTCCTCACAAAAAAAAAAGTACATGACAAGAGGTCTGAGCCTGCTTCCAGATACTTGGGCTGGAAAATAAGCAGTTTGTTCAATCACTGATTGGGGAGCAGCCAAGCTCTTTCTGCTTTGAGCCAGACATAGACTGAGGGCTAAACCTAATGGGACAAAGGGGCAAGCATGTGACATGAACATCTGGACAGAGGCTGCCTAAAGGGCTAAGCTGTCATGATAAGATTCTTTTAGGAAAGGACTAGTTCTATTTCTTTTGTGGCACTCAGCCTAAGACTAGACACAATAAACATTCATAGTGTGGAGAGTGGAGAGTTGGAGTCTATTCCAGGATCTGGCACTGTCTTAACTGTGTGGCCTTGAACAAGTATGATCTTTCCAGGCCTAAGTTTCTTGCCAAAAAAAGTGAAGGCTGCACTAGATTTTTATTCTTTAACCGTACAAGGATTATGCATTCATTTAAGAAAACTTGGAGGGCCAGCCCCAGTGGCCTAGTGGTTCAGTTTGGCATACTCCGCTTCCGCGGCCTGGGTTTGGTTCCCAGGTGCAGACCTATACAACTCATCTGTTAGTGGCCAGGCTGTGGTGGTGGCTCACATAAAAGGAAAACAAGAGTAAGATTGGCAACGGATGTTAGCTCAGGGCGAGTCTTCCTCAGCAAAAAAAAAAAACAACAAAAAAACTTGGAGAACAAAAAATAAAAATCATCCATAAAGGTGACCATTGGACTTTTCTGGAGTTTATATTTATGTTGGGCAGTATAACAAAATGGCTAAGAGCTTGGGTTCCTGAATCACAGCTGAACTCAAATTCCAGAGCCACATGTGGCATGTGTGCAAGTTACTTATCCTCTCCATGTATCAGTTTCCTTATGTGTAGAATGCTTCATAGAATTTCTGGGAAGATTAAATGAAATGATGTTAAAAAAAGATGATCTGCTAATGCTAGGCCTGCATTCTCATGGCAATAAGAGGAGGGTGCTAAAGAGCACCTGCTCCTCCTTTCAGAAGGAGTTAGTGCACCCCAGGTCCACCTCAGTCTCCACCACTCAGAGTATGCCTATGCACATCACCTGCTGTAATCACACATAACCTGCCTAGTACATACAGACTGGATGGAGGCTGCTAATTGTTCCTGAGTGCTTGGAAATTTTGACAGAAGTAAGACTACTCTGCCGACAGGTAGTTAAAAGCTTCTGCTTCCCAGCAGATCTAATAGTAAATGATTTATTTACTCATTTGGTAATCAGGTTTCCTATGTAAGTGACATTTCCAAGAAAAACAAAATTCACCTCTTTCACTATCACACACTTCCACCTAATTACTGTTTATGATGGAGTTGTTTCTAGAATAAACCCACACCACCCTATTTTCTTAATCATAGGCTACTGAACCCAGGATCTCCTTGAGGGTGGCACACCAAGCAGACCCCTCAGTTGGCAAGTCGCTTAACTTTTCTTGACCTCGGAATCATGCATAAAACACAGAATGAGACCAGATGAGCTCTTTAGGTGCTATCAATTACTGATTGACTAAAAGTCCACCTCACCTCATCTTTCTCAGTTGGGGTTCTACAAGAGAATTAAGCTCACATACTGTAGGACACCCATTTTGAGAATAAATCAACTTATATGCATCTGGGCTAACAGTTATGTACCATCCTTGGGAGAACTGAAAAAGTCACTTGAATCTTTCTGTGTTCTGGTTCAGGTGAAAAACCCTGGTTGAGGAAGGCTTCACCTGTGAACTAGAAATTCCTGCCCTCTAAAGCTCACAGACAAGGCAAAATTTAAACCAGTAACTGGGAAATGCTAATAAATAGCATTTAATTTAATGGAAAGCACTATGGCAGCATGGAGGAAGAAGCGCCTCTGTCAGCCCTTGGATTGACCAATGGGACAGTTCTGCCACTGTTTTAATTTCTTTCTGCCTCTTTTCCTGGTATTAGGCTGCCAGGAGTCATTTCTGTGGGCACCACTCTACTTCCATCTACAAGCCTTTTCCCTCCCTCCTAATTTATTTCTAGTTTAATGCAGACTGGAATGAGAGCTAATCGATTTGGCTAAGAGTTTTTGTTTCAAATGAGGCTCTGAGGGACATCCTTTTTTTTTTTTTTTTTTTGGTGAGGAAGATCAGCCCTGAGCTAACATCGGATGCCAGTCCTCTTTGCTGAGGAAGATCGGCCCTGGGCTAACATCCGTGCCCATCTTCCTCCACTTTATATGGGATGCCACCACAGCATGGCTTGACAAGCGGTGCGATGGTGCGTACCCGGGATCCGAACCTGTGAACCCCTGGCCACCACAGTGGAGCGCGCGCACTTAACCGCTTACACCACCGGGCCGGCCCTCTGAGGAACATCCTAAACACTGAAGTATTTGGCTGCAATCAGAGACGTCGTCATCTGAGTCAGTCTCTGGATTTGAGATGAAAGTGTATAGTAAAGTTTCTAGGGGTTGACTTTAGATGGCATATCTAGAGCAGTATTTGGGAGCAGAGGCTCTGAGTTCCAAGTCCTGGCTTCACCTCTTACTACCTATGAAACTTTGGGGCATAACCTTTTTGAGCCTCAGTTTCTTCACCTATAAAAGAGATACTAGTATTTACCTTCCAGGGTTGTATGTGATAACTGAGATAATACATATAAAATCTTAGTGCTTTGCACATAAGCACACTAATGCTTTTTAGCTCAAACCAAATGATAGGTTATTAATGTGCCAAGAGATTTCTATTAGCCAGTCAGGGCTTTTACAGGTAGTGTGGCTATCACCTAAAACCGTTTAACACTTGTCTTCACTTAACTAGGTTCTGTTTCAAATGCCAGACAGTATGTTCAAAATGTCGAAGTCCTACAAGTGTCACATGTCTAAAATAGAATCATTAACCCACACTGGTTCCCAAATTTATGGCAAGATTGCAGATCGCTGAATACGAAGTCACTGTTCCAGCTGCCGGATCCAAATCCTTCATCTTTTTCACAGACTCTTCCCTGAGTAATATGTGCATTTTTTAATAGTTACCCTCTAGATGACCTGGGAAATTCTGACATCTCTTTGAGCTTCTATTCCCTCCTTTCCCATAGATACTAATAAGGAACATTCAACAAATATTTACTGAGTGTATGCTCAGTGCTAGATACTGAGAACATGATGAGCAATAACAGACATGCTCCCTGCAACATGGATGAGCAGTAGGAGAGGGGCAGAGAATGAAATATCACTCAAACAGATGTATATAAATACATGTAAAATTACAACTCTATTGAATACCATGAGAGCCACAGGTCCTGGAAGGGAACTTGACTTAATATAGAAGAATGAAAACTTCCTTGAGGAAGTGGCAGTTGAAATCTGAAGAAGAAAGGAAATTGAGTAGGCAAAAAAGAGGAGTGGGATGAGGTGGGGGTAAAGGCAAGGACCCAGAATTCTAAGCAGGAACAAAAATGGAGAGCTCAAGGAATTGAAAGTTACAGCCCTGTCTAGGAGAGGTGGGCAGGGGCTAGGTTAAATGATGCCCTGCAGACTATGGTGAAGCTTTTGTCTTTATCCTAAAGAGCACTGGGAAGCCACCTGAAGGGCTTGGGTAGGAGAATGACATCAGATTTCTGTTTTGAAGTGCTGTATAACTTTGGGCAAATTGGTTAACCTCTCTAGACCTGAGCATCTGATTACAAAATAGAGACAGGATTTGAAGGAATCAAAGCCTGGAGGTGAGAACAGGAGGCTAGAAAGCACTTTACACAGAGATTATGGTGACATATAGGTCTGTCTCTCCCTATTGGCACTGACTAATGGCAGCTAATCTTTCTTGCTCCCACCTGTACTAGGAGTTTGTTTTTTTTAATTCCAAGAGGAAAAGTTGTAGATTGCACCTATCTGTATGAGCTACATACCCATCCTTTCTAAGAAGCTGTAGTCCCAAACAGCAAACAAGTATGCTTTTCAAAAAGAAGCATTTTCTTTAAAAATGTATTAAGCAACAATAGGTAGAGGTGGGTAGAGGCTTTAAGGTGCCCTTTAAGTATAGTGTTCACAAGCTCCTTTGTCCAAGACCCACCCCTCCCTATTGCATTATACTACACTACTTCACTACTTGTATTACTACCCTGCCCCCTTAGGCATTTGTGTTTTTGGCCCTTGATATAAATGAAAAGTTAAAACTTCACTCTGCATCTCCACTTTCTTTAAAACTAACCACAGTTAACAGTTTCCTGCATGCCCTTTCAGGAAACAAAACAAAACTTAATGCATACACCAGAATACATAAAATAGTCTACACATAAAGTATCAATAATACCATACACAATGTTCTCAACTTTGCCATTTTTATTAAATATATCTTGGAGACCTTTGCATACCAGCATATACTATGGTTATCAGTTTCACTGTATTTAACAACTGCCAAATATTACATTTTATGATAATGTGTTTAGCCATGAAGGACACTTAGAATTTTTTCTCTTTTTTGTTTGTATTGTAAACAGATTTGCATACTTTGGAAACTGGTGCATATATCTTGATGCACTTTCACAGATATTTCCACAGGGAACCACTAGGTCAGAAAATATGTACTTGTAAAATTTTGAGACAGGAATCCAACAATAAGCAACTCAGACATAAGCTCACGTTCTAACAGCAAGAGGCACAAATCAACAAAAATAAGATGATCCAGAAAAATATTAGAATAAAACCCAACAGGATAAGGAGTTAGTGACTGGAAGAGGAGAGGGGATTTGGAGTGGTCAGGAGAGGCCCTTTGGAGGAAATGAGCCAAAACCTGCTAAGGAGACACTGTCCAAGAAAAAGGGAATAGCAAGTGCAAAGATCCTGGAGGAGGAACGAATTGCGTATGCTGGAGAAACTGTAAGGAAGTCAATGTGGCTGTACTGATGAGTAGTATGTCCAAGTAGTAGGCAGGGACTCTATGAAGTAGGGCCTCGAGGGCGATGATGAGCAGTTCGGATTTTGTTCCCACTTACACTGGGAGGCCTCGAGGATTTTAAACAGGAGTCAAAGGATCCACAGTGAATAAGGAGAAGAGTGAAACCGCTTACCTGCACGGTGACTGTGGGCAAGTTCCTGCATCTTGTTAAGGTTCTTTCTCGCTCTGTGAAATGAGACTGATCGCCACCTTAAATGGTAGGCAAGGCTTTGGGGGCCGCAGCCGCGAGTTTACCTGTCCTCCAGTACTGACTCCATGGGCTCCACTCCGTCTGTGTCCACGGCGCCGAGCCGGTCCGCAAAGGCGATGGCTTTCTCCAGCCGTGCCACGGCCTCTTGGCTCCCGAAGTCCACTAGCGCTAAACGCTCCAGGTGCTCGATCATCTCGGCCGTGATCCGAACACTTCCCTGGGGGATGAGGCGGAGGGTATGGGTCACAGGTGGGGCCTGCTCCGCCTCCCGACCTGCTGCGCCACCCGCCTAGACGCTCCTGGCCTTTACCTGAGGACCCGCCTTGGCGGTGAGGCCGCGGCGCCCGCCCGCCGGGGCCCGAAAGGCCAGCCACACCGCCCGCGCCCACATTCCCCTCCTTCTCAGCCTCCGTAGTGCGTCTTCACATAAAGCCAAGCGACGCGCCTAAGAGTGATGACATCAGAGGGCGCCGCTACTGCTGCCGCCGCCGCCGCCGCCGCCGCCGCCATGAACAGCGTAGGGGAGGCTTGCACGGACATGAAGCGCGAGTACGACCAGTGCTTCAATCGTTGGTTTGCCGAGAAGTTCCTCAAGGGGGACGGCTCCGGGGACCCGTGCACCGACCTCTTCAAGCGCTACCAGCAGTGTGTTCAGGTGAGCTGCGGCCCGAGCCTTCTCGCCTCTACCCCCGGGTTCTCTACGGTGTCCCCGGCCACAGGCATGTTACTGGAACACGCGTCCACTTGGTGCTCATCCTAAACTTGCAAAGTTGGCATAGTTATTCGTATTTTATACATGGAACACTCACGCCCAGAAATAGGAAGTCATTAGTCCAAGTTCACTAGAATCAGTTTCCTTGATGTTTGCAGTGGTGCACTTTTCCACTATTGTTGGGGGGTTGGGGGGCGAGGCGGGATGTTAGCCTCTCTCGGGCCTGTTAGACATTATGAAGGGTCTCTTTTTTGTTGTTGCTATAATCCCTTCATTGGCCTGTTTTCTCTCTCCTGACCAACCAGGAAATTTTCATTCCAGCCCAGTGAATGTGCAACTGCTTTGAATTTTAAGAATAGCACTGGGCAAAGTACTCCCAGTTAGTTAACTTAAAAACATCCTCAGGGTGACTCCAGGTGGAGTTGCTATCTTTATCCCATTACAGATGGGAAAGTGAGGCTTACTTAAGGTCAAATAGCCAGTAAGTCCTGGAACCCAGATTTGTACTTGTGCCTGTCACAAGAGTGGTGATACTGTTTAAATTCCACTTCTGAATTTTGACGATTCCCTCACAACTCCTTTCCAATCTCTCTCTGGTCTTAAACTTAATTTCTTTATGAGGTTTGAATCATGGTTGGGAGTCCTTATAGTCCAGTCTGATTTTACTTTTGTACCATCATATTTTCTTTACAAAGTTTGGTCCTCAAGCTTCATATAGACCTTTATAATGTGTTGTTTCCTCCCATCAGAAAGCAATAAAGGAGAAAGAGATTCCCATTGAAGGACTGGAGTTCATGGGACGTGGCAAAGAAAAGCCTGAAAGCTCTTCTTGACCTTGACAGTCACCTTGAAAATGGACTCCTCATATCAGGAAATTGAGGAGTTCTGGATTTTGTCAATTAAGGCTGTGAAGATAGCCATCAATTTGATGAGTTTAGGAGGGAGGAGTTTTCTTTCCTCTTTGATGTTTTCCTCTCACTTGTAAAAGATGAACCATCTCTGCTTTGAGATGATTTCTCACTTGCTCTGGCATCTTGCAGGAACTCAATGTGCTAAAATTGAATGATTTCTTGGGATTATGGTTGCAATATTTGATCTGGCTTTAAATATACCTTGTATGTAAATACTGATAAACTTGTCAGGATGGTCAGGGTTGCCTGACCTCTTGAGTTATACTGCATAGGAGATTAGGCACACTGTACTGGGGTAATTGTTCATAGAAGCAATTGGCTAGGACCTCTGTTTTCTCTCAGGGAGCTAATGCTCTGAAAAGGGATCCCAGCACAACAGTTTCAATCAATGCTTGAGAACAGTTTTATTTTTATATAGTAACTTAACTGTTAAGATTGCTGATGGACTGAGTTAGCCAAGAGGAGGACAGATTTTAACAGACAGTGTTATCTCTCAGATTCAGACCTGAAAGCTTCAAGAATGTTGCAGTGAGCACCATTTCAGAGCTCATAGTGTAGAATCAGGAATTAAGATCCTTGGATTAACTATGGAGGAAGATCCTAAATTATAAAGATTTGCTGTTGCCAGCTTTCAACCTAAGTCAATGAATTAAATCAATCTATATATCATAAAATGCCAAAATGCTGCATCTGGTTAAATAGGAGAAGAGTGATTTGCCTTGTGTGCCCACCCTGCCCTGTAATGTCTGTAATCATGAAGATGGAATAAACAGTAACATTTAGCTCCTCTCCCTGGAACTCAGTGCACTTTATGGAACAACTATTACTCTAACCTCACATATCCCATATATACACTGGGAGGAGTTTTATGTTTTATAATTTAAAGGTGAAGAAACAGTGAAGATTTATCTAAGCTAGGTAGTATGGTATAGTAATTAGAAACCTCACTGATTTCTAAAATTTATTTCCACAGTAGGCTACACAAATATCCTCTTAAAATGTTTATATGATGGCACAAAAAATGTCAAGATCAGGTGAGCACTTCAGAATGTCACGTAGTCCCCCACAATTGCTTACGTTGAGTAATTTGGTTCAATTTATTCTATATGCCCAAAGACAGTATGAAACTTGATTTACCCATTACTACTTCATATTTAATGTGACCACTCCTTAATGTCATTTCAAAACATTCTTAAAAAAAACTCTACATTTACATTTTGACTGTTTAAGGTCCATTATAAAAGATAACTGGAACCTAGCTGAGGGACGCCAGACAGCAAGCTAAAGTACATCTGTCCTGCGCTCAGACTGGGCACAAGCACAACAGCTCTCCAAGGACATGGAAGCACAGGCTGGGGTTAGATCATGAAATGGCAAAGACAGCAGGGATTCTTTTTTCCTTACTGTACACGGTTCCACATCGTGCACTTCCATATGCAGCACCTTTGCTGTACAAGCTTGTATGTACTACACAATACCAAAACCTTGTAGCCTCTTGAATTTTACCACAAAACTGTCTGGTTGAGCCTTGAGAATAAAACTAGCTCAAAGCCAACCATGTTCTTTTACTGTAATTGCTACTGAAGGAATAAGTTTTTCTGATTGTTCCTCATGCTATTTTGACTTTATCCTTCCCATAAAGTGCCCCCAACTATCTTAGCCTCTTCAAAGGTTTTAAATTTTGAGGAGGAATTCTTAAGTGCTCTTTTAAGTGATTTTGTATATTGTTTCTCCCTACTTCTTATGGCTACAGGAAGGCTTTAATTCCAGAAACAAATAAAGCCACTAGGGCAGAAATGTATTATACTGCCTTTATTTCTCCAAAGGTTTCTGACCCTGCCAGCCTTCAGGGTGCTGAGATATGACCCCAAGATGAGAACTTGACATGGAGAAAATTATCTGACTACAGGGAGTATCCTGCAGCAAATGCTGGTGGAATGGGACAGGAGAAAGCTGAGACACAGAGGAAGCACTTCCTTTTGGGCATCACAGATCTCCTTCAGATGTAAACTGCAGCCATTCTGCTGGCCACGCAATGTGTTTGCCATCCAAAGTCTGTCAGGACCCAATCTTGATCCTTAATTAGCTCCACTCATGGTACCTCTGCTTTACCCACCTCAGGCACAAGAAACCAAGGACAGGCCTGTTAGAAACACTGTTATTCAGAGGCCTGAACTGGACCTGAAACAGTGTAAACAGCAGCCATAGACCTTCACTGCAGAAACAGAAATAACAGTAATGCTAATTTCTGAGGGAAAAACACCACCAAAGAATGCAACTCTCAGCTCATGACTAATCTATTTATTTAAGCCATCTCCTGCCATAAGCAAAGACGGAAGATCAGTATATTGGTCATCATTTGATACAAGTGAGGAAGGCAAGCTTAAGGTCCCATACACTTTTCTGGTCCATGTGCAGAGTAATGGTCCAAACCAGTGCTGTGGTCCCCATTGGGCGGTGGTCCCAGTTCTCTTTATTCATCTTCATAGCCGGTTGGAAGTGGATTCACATGAGCGTTATGGAATAGAGTATGGTTACCATCTCCCCAGGGAAACGGCTGTGGAGTAAAGATGTCAATTAGGCAATTCCACGAACTGCTTAAAATAGGGTAAGTGACAGATAATACATAAAAGAATATGGAAATTAGTCCTTATAACTACTGGCATAGTTTAGGCTTCCCATAATTTAAGGGAGCTCTTATAACTTCCAGAGGAACCCTTAGATAGGAAAAGCAAGCTCAAGTTCATGACTCATAAGCTTCTCCCTGGTAACTACAGTCTATCACTGCCATGTTTATGAAAGCATAATCCTCAAATCGACTGTATCAGAATGGCAAAGGTGGGTATAGGAGAGGACATGCTTATTTTAAATGCAGATTTATGGGATCCATTTCAGACTTGAAACAAATCTCTGGATTGGAAACTGCAACCTACCCTCAATTATTTTGCATACTACCTTTGAAAAGCATTGTTCTACGGCAGCGGTTTCCAACCCAGGATGATTTTGCCCCTCCAGAGACACTGGTTATATCTGGAGACATCTAGGGGAGCGAGGGAGAATACCAGTATCTAAGGGGTAGAGGTCAGGGATGCTACTAAACATCCTGCAACTCACAGGATAGTTCCTTGCCCCCACAAGAATTATCCAGCCCCAAATGTCAATAGTACTGAGTCTCAGAAACCTTGCTGTATGGCTTCTAATTCTTCTATACCAGGGTGGAAGTGGGACTCAGACTCAAAAATTCTTTCTCAATCTAACAGTCTAGGTTAAGTCTCTATGAGGCCAGTCTTACTTGGGCTAAGTGATGTAACAGTTATTAAAGAACCAGAAGAGGCTCTTGTTAAGACTCTTTACAGCAAGCAATGGAAAACAAATGATATTATATCTATATCAACAGCCAAAAGATAAAATAGTTGAGAAGGTGGGGAACAGGGGAAGCTGTCAGTCTCTAATTATTCGGCTAGCACCTGCCAGAGGCCCAGGTTCTACAAAGGTGAACCACCTTCCGACTTTGTCACTTTAAGGTGGTTTCCCAAACCTTCAAGTTTTATACAACCGACAACTGTTTCAGAACACAATCAGAAGGCAGAACGTGGGATGAATCAGAGAAAAGGAAAACTAAAAGGCACTTATTGTATGACCTCGAAGAAAAAAATTGAAACGTGACTCCCGAGACTCAGTTTCCCTTCCCATAAAACCGGAGTAAATAAAAATTTGTGAAGATTAAATGAGAAATCGTACCCGCCCAGCATCCACGCTTTTAGAGAATAAAGAACTTGGACTAGGGCATTCGGAATGAAAGGAGAACGGACACTCCGAGAGGCTGCAAGGGCGTACCTTGGACCTGATGCGGAG